TAGTAATCTCGTCGCTGGTCATGAAACTCAGCAGACCCGTCAGAATCGTGCTGACTTCCCATGCGGGGTTGAAGCTCTTAGGGTGGAAGTCGGAGATGCTGAGGCACAGCCGGCTGCTGGGCTGGAATCGACCGGACGGTGTGTGCATGCGGATTGCGGGCGGCGCAAAGGGATAGTCGGGCGGGAAGTTCAGCGTGCCCCAGTACTGGCCGCCGTGGTAGGGTGTGTCTGGTGGGCCGGTGATGATGTAGTGCCATTCTAGGATGTTCCTATCCGAAGGGTGTGCAGTAATGAATGGCGGTGGTGATTTGGAGATGGAAGCGTATTCTCTTGTGAGGCGCTTGGTGGCTGCTGGCGTCGCCATGGTATGTGAATGTGGGGGAAGAGTGAGTGAGTGGGTGGTTGGGGTAGTCGACGTGTTCCTGGGCGGAGATAGTTGACGTCGACTATCGGATGCGCTGTATAGGTGGCCACCAGATAACAGTGCAGAAGGCGTGGCACGTTTTTCAGTGATTACCCCGCGATAGACAAAGGATAAGAATCACAAAGGCAGGCGCGATAGGTGAATTAGGTCGTTGGTGAAAGAGTTCGGGTCGCACGTCCAGACGACGTTGGAACAGTTGGAGAGTAAGCGCACGTGCATCCGCCGCCCGCGGCGATCTAGAGTTCAAGGTTTCTGAACAACGCCAAGCATCACGCACGCAGACACAGACAGCCCAATGGCTTCGCCGCATGAAGACGATGTGAGTAGTCGTGCATCATGTCAGTAACGGCACATTGCTAATTGGGCCCCAGGTCTTCGAAAGGCTCAAGAACAAGACGGACCTGAACGAGCAGAAGCGCCAGCAGGATGAGCTCAATGCGCGGCTCTACGCCCAACAGCAGAGGTCGAAGGAGAGGCTGGGAGAGCTGGTATGCATTCTGGGCATTCAATTGGGGCTGTTGCTGAGGCTGTGCTAGATTGAAGACAACTCGTCGCTACCCGTAACGATATCGTCGGTCCGCATCCTTCACGCCAACCGCACACGAAGAAGCTTCCTCGAGCGAGTAGTCGACCCCCTGCTGAGCGCAAACCGGGACCAGCCATATACCCTCGAAGATGCGATAAAGGAAGTTGGCGAAGCTACCGATAAGCTCAATCGATTTGGTACGTCAATACGCGACGGAGGGGCTCACATTTGTCTAACATTGGCTAGGTATCTTCAAGTCGCCAATATCAGTCTACCTCGACCGTCCAAACCAGACCATCGCCTCTTCCTCCCCCACGGATGTTGACGTGTACATCTCGGCCCAGGAGCGCGGCAACTATACCATCAAGACCGGAACTGAGGCTGGAGCCTCTGAAGCCGATGCCTATGTCCACGCCGAACTTCGAAATCTGCTTGGTGGAGCCGAGACGCTGAACGCACACGGATCGCTGGGCACGCGAACACGGTCGGCCTACTCCCTCGCCTTCGACAGTCCCATCCTCAGCAACCCCGATCTCAAGTTCCAGGTCAACGGATTCGCGAGTTCGACACTGAAGAGCTGGGCAAGCCATGAGGAAGTCCTCAAGGGTGGAAACTCAAAGCTACTATGGAGGATGAAGAACGGTGCGACACACGAATTTGGCTACTCTGGCATCTGGCGACAGGTGACTAGTCTGGCTGAGAACGCATCGCCCTCTGTTCGCGCAGATGCTGGTGACTCATTCAAGTCGAGCATCTCGCATACCTGGGTCAACGACAAGCGCGACTACCCTCTCCTGCCTAGCAGCGGCTACTTCTTGAAGACCGTATCCGAACTCGCAGGTTGGGGACCGCTGAAGGGCGACACCGCATATTGGAAGACAGAGGCAGAGTCGCAAGTCGCTCTCCCCTTCGGCAACACAGGCATCACGCTTACTGCTGGTCTACGGGGTGGACTTCTCTACCCCATGGCTTTGGGCGGGGAGAGCCAGCCCCAGGCCTCGCGCATCAACGACCGCTTCCAGCTCGGCGGCCCCAACAACGTTCGTGGCTTCCGCATCGCTGGTCTTGGTCCTCGTGACGGCGCTGATGCACTAGGTGGCGACATCTACGCTGCTGGTGGCGCATCGCTCCTCCTTCCCATCCCGCGCGTCGGCAAAGAGACACCTCTCCGTCTCCAAGCTTTCATCAACGGTGGCCGTCTCCTCGCACTCAAGAACCCCAACTCCAAGAAAGAAGACGGATCATTCGGCAGCTCAAGCGACGTAACTGGCGCGATTCAAAAGTCCTTCTCCAGCCTCACCGCTGAACTTCCCAGTGCGGCAGCTGGTCTAGGCCTCGTATACGCACACCCTGTTGCGAGGTTCGAGATCAACTTCTCTCTACCACTCGTCATGAGGGCCAAGGAGGAAGGCAGGAAAGGACTGAGCTTCGGCGTCGGCATCGAGTTCTTGTAGACACAGATCCAAGTGTGTAAATGTGTATTTGTAGGCCGTATAGACTTTCTTCTCGAGCAAGCAGATCACTTCTTTCTCAATCATTCTCATGTTCACATGTCGCTCGCATTCAGTTCGAAAATCTACCCCTACAACTAAAAGATCTAGCTCCCTACCAACTGCGGCCCCTCGAACACCTTCTGCGGATCATACACCCCCTTGATCCCCACCAACCTCTCATAATGCTCCCCCCAATACCTCGAATGCGCATCCGCCTTGGTAAGGTTCGTATCCGCATAATTGATATACATGCCAAACTGCTCGCCCTCGCTCGCCTTCTCAATCGCATCGACCCAGCCATTAAGAAACTCCATCATCTTAGGCGTATACGTCGCGCTGTCGGGGAAAATGCGGTCGTTGAACTGCATCTTGAAGACGGCGTTGCGGTGCGAGTACGACGTCTCGTCCGCGGGTACTTTGGAGATGGCGGAGCCGGAGCCGCCGTGCATGTCGATGAGGAGGTACCAGGATCGGCCACGGATGTTGCGCGCGGTGGTGAAGTAGTAATCTGCCAGGGCGTTCATGGCGGCGGGGGAGAGGTACTCTGGCATGAGTGACTTGGCGTAGAAGTTCTCGTGGTAGTCGTATATTTCTGGTTGCGGCAACGGGCCGTTGGAAAAGGATGTCAAAGTGTCGATCCATTTCTTCGTTGAGACGGTGCCGGCGCCGCGTCCCTCGAGCGGGATGTTGAGTTTGGTAAGCAGCGGGTTCATGATGGTGTCGAAGGCGCTGCGGTTACCGTAGTATACGCCGGTTAGTTGGTTGGGGAGGAACATGCGCATGTTTAGCTCCGGGGGCTGGTCGTGGATGGTGAAGTTTTGGAGGACGGTCAGGATGTTGGCGAGTTGCGATGTGTTGGATGGGGAGAGGTTGTAGGAGAATACGAGGTTGCTTTCGGGGGCGTCAAACGTTTTGAACTTGAAGTCGGTGACGATGCCGAAGGCGGCGCCGGCGCCTCGTAGGGCCCAGAAGAGGTCGGGGTTGGAGGTTGGTGACGCGGTTACTACGCTGCTGTTGTGGAGGACGACAGTTACAGAGACAAGTTGGTCGAGTGTAAGGCCGTGCAGGCGAGAGGACATGCCGTAACCTCCATGAAGAGTGAGACCGCTTACACCGACACTGGAAAGTGTTAGTACATATATGGTGTTGATGATAAGGATGAGGACCTACCCAGGACATGTTCCGTGACTGATGGCTTGCTTGCCTTGGTCGTAAAGAGCCAGAGCAATGTTGCCCAGTCTACCGCCAGCTCCTATAACAGCTGTGTGTGCCTCTTGGTCAACAGTTACACTGTTGAAGCGGCGCATGTCGACAATCAGATGTCCATCTTCGCCTCCAAGACCATGTGATCCATAGCTGTGGCCTCCGCACTTCGGGGTGACTTGGACACCACTCTCAACTCCGCAAGATACAGCATCTTGAACTTGTTTGACGGTCTGTGGTACGACGTAGGAAGCCGGTTTGAATGGTAAACGAAGATTGAAGGGTTTGACTGCCTGAGTGTAGTTCTTGGTACCTGCAGCATATACAGGGACCTGGCGAGACTCAAGGCATTCGCTCAATGTAGCGTTTGCAGCGGTAGTGCAAGAAAAGAGAGCGCAGGCTGCAAACAGCCATGTGTAGTATTCTTTCATCATTCTGGAAGTCGGAAAGTGGCTTGGCTGCCCAGGAAAAATTCATCCGCTAACGTCCTCGCGATACTTATGGATTGCTTGAATCCTAGAGGTGGATTCTGATGGTGAGATACATATTGAGCCAATACACTACGGCTGAAGACCCAGAAAACATATCTGACCAGGAGACATGACTGCGATGAAGGGATGAGAATGCCCAGAGTGGAAACCTTGCTCTTTCCTTGGATCCTTCGTCGGAATCGTGGGGATTCCAAGAGGATTTGGTACTGGTAATAACAGATCTTGCCTCTATCGCACGACAACTTCCAAGCTACGGCTATACCAAGAAGCGGTGACTTCAGCTTGATTTACCTCTTGGCAAAGATTGGTCGCAGAAAGATTAAGAGATGCCACCTCGTCTATACCCACACACGTGTCCAGGTGCGCTGCAGCCGCATCCACGTACCGACATAGGGCAGCGGCGTGGCGGCTGCATTCCCGGTATAAGGCCTGGCCAAGAGATCTTAACATGCGCGTGCCCGAGATGAAAGACCGAAATGCAAGGCTACTGCAATTTCGCCATGTTGATCAACCTGGGGTCGGCAACCGGCTGAAACGTTGTACCCCTGCTCGAAACATGGCTGTAGATTACTATATATTGTCCGACGTGCGGCCTTTAACCGGCTTGGACAATCGCATACTCACCGAGGCTGAAGTGGCACCCTCGCTTTCAGCAAAACGCATGATGGAGTCGGTTGTTTAGTCCAAGAGGGTGTAGTCAGGTGTTTCATCGTCGTAGCTCCGAAATGTCGAGTGCGGGCGCGTGACGCAAGGCGGTCTGGTGGAAATGTCAAAGAACACACGTCGAACATACAAAACGATGCTACTTCCCTGTGCTTCAAAGTCAGTAACAGATACATCCTGACTCGCAAACCATAATCATCATGGTCCATTCGCATTCACTCCTTCTACCGCTGTTCGGCACGGCCGCAAGTGCGGCAAACTTGTGGGCGACGCACTACTCCGGCACCATCAACTACCTGTCGTTCAACAGCAATGCCTTGACTCTCAGTAGTTCGGCTTCTACTGGCAACAAGCTCCCTAGTTGGATTACGTACGACAGTGCTGGAAAGGCGCTCTATATTCCAGATGAGGTCTTCCAGGGCCAAGGAGGCGGAAACTTGGTGTCCTTCTCCACGGGTGCGAACGGCAACGTGACCTCAATCGGAAAGGGCTCTACACCTCAAGGTGTGGTTGCGACAACGCTCTATGGTGGTCCGGATGGGAAAAGCTTCATCGCCAATGCCCACTAGTAAGTCAGCAGCCCTGAGAAAACACGAATGTTGCTAATCGACCGAAAGCCAAACTTCGCAGTTGACAACCTTCAAGCTGCCATTGAATGGCGGACAGCCGCTTCAGACAATCAAGTACACTGGTAAAAGCGTCAACCCTTACCGACAAGAAGCTCCTCATCCGCATCATGCTTTTGTGGACCCGTCTGGCGACTTCTTGATCGTACCTGATCTCGGAACCGATAAGATCAGAATCAACAAGATTGACCAGACAACTGGCAATCTCACAGAATGCGGTGCTGCTTTGCCGCCACCTGGAACAGGACCAAGGCACGGTGCCTTCTGGGCGCCGGCAGGAGCGAACTCGCGCGTTCGCCGAGCTGCAGACGGCACAGTCCTCTTCATCGCCAACGAGCTCTCCAACAGCGTATCGGCATGGGCGGTGTCATACCCAGCGTCAGGAGGCTGCATGTCTCTGACCCTGAAGCAGACGCTCACACCGTACCAAGGCAACGCCACCGCCGTCTCTGGTACCAAGGTCGGCGAGATCAAGGTCAAGGGAAACTTCGTCTACACCAGCAACCGAAACGACAAGAAGTTCAGGCCCAACGACTCAATCACCCAATTCAGCATCTCTCCTAACGGAAGCCTGACATGGACTGCCCTCACATCGTCCTACGGCACATACCCGCGTACTTTCGATATCAACAAGGCCGGTGACTTCGTCGCTATTGGTGATCAAACCACTTCGAACGTAGCTATCGTACCAAGAGATCCGGCGACTGGCAAGTTGGGAGAGCGCGTTGCGGACCTCAGGATCGGGGCTGCCGGTATTCCGGAGAACGAGGACGGTCTCAGCGCGGTTGTCTGGGCCGAGTAGGCGTCCGCTTGTTGATCATTGGGACTTTTTGTATATACAATAACTTTCGTATGAATCATAGGGTTGCGCAGGCTGATTGCGTTTCCACGATGACGCGTTCGTCTGCGATGGAGGTGTGAAGAGGAAAGAGCGCGTGAAGCTTGAGTGTTGCCAAGACGCTAACGCGGGTGCCATTTCCTCACGCGTCAAGACTCACACCCATGATTCCTTGTGCATCCAAAACACGTCTTACTAGCTGCCCAATACGATCCTGTTATCAGGTTCAACACGAAGAAAATCAAATATCCGCAGTACTCACTCGCAATACCAGTTTTAACCACATTGCATCGAAAGTCCAGTCACACCTGCCGTCCATCAAAATGAAGACTGACAATTACCTTAACCTCTGCCTCGAGCAGGCTGCCAAGTCGCCTTTGCGTTACCGCCATGGAGCCATCATAGTCCGTGGCGGTAAAGTCATCGGTCAGGGCTACAATGATCATCGCTCTGGCTTCGACGGTGGTGCCTTGAAGACCGGGCGCCTTCCACTGCGCTCCTCGACTAAGCGAGAGTTAGGTATACCGGGAGGTCATGTGAATAAGACGTTTACGCCGTTTGAAAGCATGGGTATGGGTGGTGGAGGAAAGCTCGCCAACACTCCGTTATCTATGCATAGCGAGATGATGGCGATTCACTCTGCTCTCTCGGCTTCCAGCACGCTGGCATCTAGCGCGGTGTCCTCCGAAAAACCGTGCTTTAAACTATCGGGTGATTCTAAACGAAAGTCACGACTACGAAGGGAAGCAATCAACTCCTATGTCAAAGCCATCTGCGAGGCCGCACTGGCCCAGTCCACCGCGGCCTCTGGCAGTGCCCAGTCCGGTGTTCAAGAGTGGCGATTTGAATCCTCTGCATCTGGATCGTGCGAGACTGAACCCTGTGTTTCACGACCAGGAGAAGAACGAGAACGTGGCCTTGTCGAAAATGAACAGTACGGAGAAACACCGTCCGAAGAAAGGGAAGAATCATCATCATCACAAGCTTGGCAACAAGTCCAACAATGGACAACACAAACACAGTGGTCGACAACATGCGCGTAAGCAGACCATCGTAGCTCCATGCTACAATCAGTCTCCAACGTCGAGCGCTTCTGAAGCGTCTTCGTCGCCGGAAGTGTCATCCAATGATCGTGATAAAGCAGGAAAGGTGCGTCGTCCAAGATCTGTTATCACACATGCTGACGGCCATAGAATGAAAGACAGAATCCCCCGACCGCCAGGAGTCAGCCAATGCTCATGCCAAAGGGACAGACTGGACAGAGTTCTCGCAGTATCAAAGACAGGACCAAGAGCCCACGTTTGAATGGAGCCGATCTGTACGTCGTAAGACTGGGCTGGCAATGTGCGCCGAAGGTGTGCTGCGAAGGGCCTGATGAAGACGCCGCGAAGCTACCTCCATCACGCCCTGCCACAGGTTCATTGCACGACGAGCTCACTAGTCCAGAGCCGGCGAGGCCAGCACGCACGAAACACCCGCCGACTCCAACAAAGGACGACAAGCGACCGACCGTCCTGGCTTCCCGACCCTGCTACCGATGCATATCCTACATGGCGTCTGTGGGCATCAAACGCGTTTTCTGGACCGATGACAAAGGAGGCTGGGAGGGCGCGAAGGTGCGTGATCTGGTCGATGCGCTTGACAACATGGGGTCGCAGTCGCCCACTGATGCTTCGGTGGCACTTAACAGCGTCTTCGTCACAAAACACGAGGTGCTGATGCTGCGCAGGATAACGGGGGACAGCTAAACTCGGATGTATCGTAGACCATGACGACAGAATGCAGCATTAAGAGTCTCATGTGTAACCTTCAGTGCGTTTGTTCAGGCAGTAAACATACCTATATTACCTCTAGCACTATGATCACGGTGAGAGAAGGACAAATAGACTTGCAGGTACTTTCCTAATAAGGTTATGCGGTGAAAGATTTCGCCACTGGGACCGTTTGCACGGGAGACGCCAGGGTGATTACATGCTGGTATCGTGCAGAGCCTCTCTCTATATAAAGCACACGTCTCCCCCACCAAGATTCTCACAACACAACACAAAACAACACAACACGACTCAGTACACATCAATTTCAGCACGATGGTCCACCACATCCAGTTTGTCGATAGCTTTGCCGACCTTCCTTCCACTGCTCCAGCCAATCATCCCCACATCATCGATCTCACTACCTTCAAGGAGAACGACGGCGAGGTCACCACCGACATCAAGATCCAAGACGCCATCGTTACAACTCTTCATAACATCTCCAAGAATACTCTCACCAAGTTCTTCCATCCCACCAAGCTCTTCCACATGGACTTTGAATCTAAGACCGATCGCCACTACGATCGTATCATTATCAAGAAGAAAGGCAACGAAGTTTTGGTAAGTGACAGTTGGGAGAGGCGTCTAGGAATTCATGACACTAACGAAACTACTCACAGGTGGGCCAGTACGCCAAAGTTCAGGGTTTGCTGGAGTTCGATAACCTCCTCCGTTGCTCTATTGATGCGACTGGAGCCTGGAAGATCACCTACGCAGCCTACCGCGACTACTTCTCCGTTGAAATGATCGGCTTCTACACCTGGGAGAATGTCTGGGCAGGAGCCACGGTCAATGTCGGTGGTGTCCTCGCGGCTCTCCGCTTCGAGACTACTGAAGGCCAGCCGGAGCGGGCAATGTTGGCCACGCAGGTTGCTGATCACCTATTGGCGGGTCAGTACTGGGACTCTACTCGCTGGACCAGGGAATTCCATTGGGAGTAAGTCATACCGTGACCACTCAAACGAGGAAGCGGAAAGGATTTTATGATGGACTTCTAAATAGTGCGAGCTTCTCCTGTCTCCTACATGACTTCAGAGTCTCATATGTCACTAGAATACTTTGAAATCTATCTTCATCATGTGTCTTCTTCTTTTTCAACTCTCGTCTACTGACCCAGTCCAAACTACTGAAGGAGCTTTACCGAACGAGCACGATTACTTCGCCTCTAGACATGGGAACATATCTGCCTATTTTGCACGGCCTACTAATTTCCCAGTCCACGCGCTACACGTCAGATTTCTCTCCATGATTTAACAAAAGTGGAGTATCCTCGTTCACCTTGACTTGCGCGCACTGTCACCGCCGTTTGCTCTCCCCTTGTGGTCCAAGCTTTTGGTATGAAATCAAAACAACTTTGGACGAAGTCTTGCTCCCCACACAACACACATCAACCTCATAAGCCAAACACGATGGTACTTGCTATTAGCTGCGACCGCAATGGCGCCTGGTCCATCGACACCGAGTATCTTCCTGTGTGGTTCCTATGCGTCCATGAGCATTTGCCTGCGAACGCACCTTCCGACCATGCCCACGTTATCGATATGGCTCTCTACAAGCCTTCCCTGCCCTCTATAGGGGTACAGTGCGATGTCAAGATCCAAGACGCAGTCGCCACTCTGCTCTTCAACATCTCTAAGGCAACCTTGGATCAATTCCTTGACAGTCAGACTACATCGTTCAAGTTTCTCTGGTCATTCAAGAGGGAGCATGTCGAGAATCAGATGATCGTTTGGAGGCAGGGTGCTCAAGTTCTTGTAAGTGATCCTATCAAGATACATGAGTCTCAACATAATGCTTACTAGGTACTTGGATTCTAGGTCGGCCAGTTCGTAGAGTACCCCGAGGATGATGAATTAGAATGGGACAACCTTGTTCGTTGCCGTATCAACTATGACGGCTCTTGGGACCTTGCATCCGCCACGTTTGGTAGATACACTCGCCTTGGGCTTCACCACGCATGGGCAGAATCATTCCTCCCACGTTACACCCGAATGGGCATTGAGCATGACAAGAAGAAGGGGGAAGAGCAATCCGCGCGGACCTTGGGTGATTACATCCTGAGCAACGAGTGCTGGATCGCCAAAGCGGAGTCCAAGTGGAACATTGAGATCAGCATGGCCCGCTGATGCATCGCCATATTCATGAAGCCCGCTGTCTCATATACTGAACATTGGATTCCGCGATCCATGTATCCGTACAAGGAAGAAGATTTGAAAGACTGGTTATTCATGCGAGCCCCTTCTCGCACGAAATACTGGGGTAGTCGACATGAATCAGAGCTTTCTTTCAGGAACCTATCAACAACTTAAATGTGTATTGCGACAAGCTATGGTTGAACCATACTAAGCAATGGCTTTGTTTCCAACATATATAGTATCCGAAGTCGCATTTCAATTGTGGTCGCTCTTTCATCTCACCTGCCCTTTGTTAATGCGCGAACGAGACCGTGCATGTTGGTTGTTTCTGCCCTGGAACACCATCACTTGCTCTAGACATTATTGTTATTTTCACCTATTAACTACTACAGCTATGTGCGATAATCGGTATGTCGTCTCTTTCCTCACCGTCGCGCCTTCCTTCAGCCCTCACCGACCTCGCCCGCTAGCGCTGCTAGTGTGACCAGCATGGCAAACGCCCGCACACTTCACGTATTGCAGCTTCTTCGCCCCTCATCTTTCATCACTACCCGTTGAACTTCACGCTCACCATTGATCTTTCCTAGATCTCATCGCTCACCAGAAGCTAGCGCCTCTAGTTGTTGTACTCATATATCTTGTACCATGCCGGTGACTACGAGATTCAAACGCTTGCAGCTACAACCTTCTGACGTTGACATCAATCTCGAACAAGACACAAAACATCACTCACAATCTGTCAACCGCACCGCTACAATGGCTACACACCACGACAGCACTCCGATGGAGATTGGCATCGTCAGCAGTGACTTCGCTGCCACCACCGATATGGACATTTGTGCCAACTCTCCCGGGAAGAGTGATTCTGGCAAGAGCGACAGCAGCACTCTCTCGTACACCGATGACTTCGAGACACTTCCTTCAAGCGGTCCTACTAGCCATGCCCACATCCTCGATCTAGACGAGTATGCCGCATTCATGAAGGAAGATGGCGCACTCAAGCTACAAGATGCCGTTGTCACCGCTCTTTTCAACATCTCGGCTGAGACCCTCAAGGCGTTTGTCAGCCCTACTGTCAACACGTTCAAGGTTGTATTCGGCAAGAAGGACGTCCAGCTAGTCATCTGGCGCAAGGGTTTAGAGGTCTTCGTGAGTCATCGCATACACTTCCAAGCAGACAGCCGCTAACAACCCTCTAGATTGGCACCTTCGAGCACCACACTTCGATGAAAGCGTACCGCTTCGAGCACGTCGCCGGATTCCTCATCGGTTACGATGGATCTTGGCACCTGAAGGTTACTGCCAGCAACGCGTACTCCGCTCCAAAGTGGCCAGATGTCTGGGCAGGCAAATTCGAGTGCCATGGCGGCGTTGCTAAGATGACCATCGAGACCGAAGAGATGGAGATGGCAAAGCGCGCCTCGGCATTGGCGACTGCAATGATCGGTGGCAGATATTGGGAGTTGAAGACGGATGTCAAGATGACTTGATGCGAAGCCGGCATCATTGAGCGGGATCGGTCGGAGTTGTTTGGAAGGATATAATCTGGAATTCATTTGGCGCGTGATATACGATGAGCCTGGACCCGCAGGCCTTATGAGAAGGTAGCGAGCGACTGCGGTATTGCCACGACAGGTATTGTGATATGAAGGAGCTTCACTACTATATGGTCAGCTCGAGCCATCCCGAGCGCAAGATGAGATCTAATAAAGAACTATACATGTACCAACAATCTTTCTTCCTGTTTGTAATTATCTCATGGAGACCCTCCGAGCTGCCATAAGCCCGCGCCATCATCTCTGAAGCGCTCTTCCACCGCCCTGTGAGAGCTTGATATTCCATATCTCCGCATAATAATTACCCACCCAGCCAACACCTTAACCACAAAACTCCTCTAATAGCCCACTCCTCCATCAAACTCATTCTCAGAGCCCATAGTCCAACGGTAAGACACCCACATCTCAAACCGCGCAGGGCTGCCATCGCATCGTCTCAGCGTGCGAACGAACAAGGCTGAGAAACCGTCCGAGCTTCCGCCAATTGATGTCGAATCCTCTTACAGTTCTCGAATCCAAATTCCGCCTCCGCCAAAGATGACCGATAGCACACAGCCTTGCCGAGATTGTGGGGGATCCGCGTTCAAGTCGCGGTGGGCTCATTACTTTTTGCTAGATCTTTGTGTTGAGCGCTGTGGGTTTACCGTCTTTTTTGCTGCCATAGAGTGATAGATAAGAGCGGTGGCGTGGCGGGCGGGTGAGTTCGTCGACGGGAGTGTCTTACTTAGCGTTCAATCTTACCAAGACCATCAAAGAGTGGATAGCAATGAGATTCATTGTATCCAACAACAGTACCTAAAAATAACATGCAAAGTCGCGAGCGTATCCAATCCGCTCAAACGATCAACGTGGTGTATCTAACAGCATGTCTATCCCGAACTCCACTTATGAACGCCGGTCGTCTAATGCATATGCCAGTGCGCGTAAGCAAGCTCAACGCGTGTAATCAATGAATCACCAACTCCCAGGTCCAAAGGTCTCGCCTTTGCGTACTTCCTTGTACGGGCAGGCTTGCCAGTCACAACCCTAGCGATAGTGTTAGCTTTTGTATCCAATGAAGCCCAGGTTGTATGTGGTTGACTTACCTGTTTGTAAACTTCCGTACCCCACCACTTGAAGTTGCTCATCCAACCGGGGTACACAATGCCAAAGAAGATGACCACAACACCAAACGCAAGGCCAGAGTCCAAAGCCGCGCTAAGCATCATGTTGTATTTCTTCCACCAGGCATTTCTTCGATTGCGGATCTCGTAGTTGAAGATGTAACACACAATCGCCCAAACCGAGAAGTTGAGTCCGGTGGCTGGTGGAATCCAGCTCAAGCTACCAAACACCACGGCGAGGTTGACTTTACTGAGAATGGACTTGCGGCTGCCGCGGGCGAGGTACCAGAGTATGACGGGCGCGATGGCGCCAATGGGGAAGGCCCAGATCAAGTGTTGGTAGAGTGCGCCGGGACCGAAGAACTTTCCTGGACCGACGACACCCCAGAGGATACTTCCGTTGAAGTGAACGCGGGCGATGGGGCAGTTGAAGCCGTTGATGGCCGAGGGTGTGCAGATACCGGGGATGTTGTTTAGCATCCAGTTTAGCACGCCGATCTGTGTTAGGCTGGAGATGATGGTGACGGAGAGTTGGAGCTTGAAGAGGATTCTAGGTGGGATCTTCATGTAATGGCCGAGCTTGAGATCGGAAGCAAACTTTAGGCCCTGGGTTGCTGAGATGTAGCCAAAGGTTGTGAAGACCATGTTTGCGACGGGTCGACCGGGGAACACAACGCCGCATATCAGTTGGCAGATGAGATAGATGCTACTTTGCTGGTTCGTGATGGCCATGACGATGCCGATGGGGACGAAGAGGACTGCACCGATGCCAAGTGCTAGCAAGAGGCCGTACCAGGGTAGATGGACGGGGTAGTACTCGACGACGAACATGCCAACTGCGGCCATACTGATGCCAGTCAAAAGGTACCAAGTTATCGGCACGTCCTCGTATTTGCGCATGAGTCGATTGTGCACATCTTCTGCAGATAGCAAGTCTTCCACGTCTGGATCTGAAGTCGTACTGGGCCTGTGTCGCAACATTGCAGGGGAAGTTGGTTGGCTGTTGTTGTCGGTACCATTCACAAGTGGCTGGTAGTCAGCTCCTGATTCCTTCCGGATCTCAGCCCAAGAGCGACGCCATTGCCTCCAGATATCCTTCCCGTACCAAAGGCCAGTGTGCGAAAGCAGAGCTGTAAGACCGGCGAACTGTAGGGCGTAGCTCAATACGTATGTAATCGGGAGGTAGACGCGGCTGTATTGCTTGTACGCTTCTTCGTCAAAGAGGAAGTTCTCGGTCAAGATCTTGCTGACGTCGTACGGCTTGCCGCGATTATCCCATACAGCGGATGATAGGATGGGCATGTAGGAAGAGTAGAGGACGTTCTTGTAGTCTACAAGCTGTCAGCATAAGTAGTCAAACCTCCTGAACTACTTACACATGATAGGCGCTGCGATCCACATCACGCCTACAAGGCCTCCAAGAATGTTCATAGCAGCCCAGAATGGCGTAATCAACGGGGAGCCAATGTATGCGATTTGCGCCCAATCGAAAGTCACTGGGAACAATCCAAGACCAGATGAGATTCCGAACTGCACAGATTAGCTTTGTCTCAATCCAAAATGACTATAAACATACCAGGTTGGCAACAACAACGCTCTTTGGCGCGAACCAGGTGATGACATTGAAATAACTCAATGCTGGGAATAGGAGACCAGGTAGGAAGTAGAACGCAACGGATCCTAGGAATATGCGCGAGAAGAACTTGCGTGGAGCGATGGTCCAGCCATCGGCAGGCTTGTTCTCATCTTTATGTAACGCGGTGAACATGGCGGTAGATACGAGTGTGCTCGGCCAGATCATGCCGCTGGGTCGGACCAGGTAACGTCTGGTGATACCGGCGAGGGAGTAGCCAAGTATTTGTGTGGAGAGGATAAGCAATACTTGGTACATGATGCCAAGGTCTTGCTTGTAGAACTTTACTTGCTCAACGATGACCTTGGGTTGTCAGCATACCATACATGGCTGCATAGATGATACTTACATCTGTCGCAAAGGCAAAGCCGAAGGATACATTACTGCTGACATATACGCAACAGTGTTCCTTCTCATTCCAACGGCCTTGGCCTAGCCAGAGCCGTAACCGGCGTTTCCAAGTGGCTTTTGCCTGTGGAGGATGCGATGTTGTTTGCGAGCAACCATCGACAAAGGTTTCTTCAGGATCGTCGTGTCGTTTGAAGAGTTGGTCCCAGAGTAGACCGAGGGGGTGGACGAGTAGTAGTGCAATAATAGGAGTAAGGCTGACGCTAGGGTATCGTAGGGAAAAGAACAAGTTGGTTGAAGAACCGGCAATGGAAAACAGAATCGATAGGAACCACATGCGCGGGGTATCAATGGATAGGGAGAGGTCGTCGGTAGCAGCGACGGATGCCCTCACTTGAGCGTAGGGCGAATTATCGGACGGGCTACCCTTCATATCGTGTAAATCGTCGTCCTCGGAGGATTCATTATCGTCTAGCGTACTGCTCGATGAGGTTGAGTTGTCAAACAGTGGCGCGCCAGCGGTAGAAGGATCAAGACCGCTTGCGTTGAACCTAGCTTCAAAGTCCTGGCCACTAGAGGCTACACCGAGCGTCGTGCTGCTACGACTGGCGTCACCCGTCCTGCGACGTGACTTGGTAGCGCCTGAAAGGATTGGCTCACTCCGTGTCGAATCATTTTGGCGGTGATCCGAAAGTAGTGAGGGTTCACTATGCGAAAGTCTGCTCTTCCCTTTTTTCTTTCTTGAGTTTTTAATCACATTATTTTCATCAGACTCCTCTGGACTGGAGGAAAGAATAGGTAGGCCGCCATATGAACCTGAGGTTGGGGTCAGCACGTGTAGCGAATGAGGTTCTGTGCGCCGTGTGCATCGTTGCTCCTGTGCACCCGTCCAAGGCCGAGGGGCGATTGACGGCCATGGCGCTTGACAACGAAGAATAGTTTGCGTACCTGTTCCCTGCGCCGGGCTCGATCTCACCAAGAGAGGTACTCTTGACATTGCTGTCTTGACGGATCGTGTAGGAGTCTCGGGGCGGCCAGCTGGCGAATCAAGATCGTCATCAGAAGGGGTTTCGGACGTGGCTATGTTCCTTGCGTTCTTTGCTTTGTCAGGCAGAGGCTGCAACTCGTAGCTGCCTGGCGAGACGGGAGGACGGTCGTGTCGCGTGTTTCCAGAAGGATGGGCAGGCGAGAGAGCAAGCGACGAAGATGACCCGCACCCGTCCTCGTTAGCCATATGTATGGGTGGGTGCCCGGGTGTGGCCAGGGGCGCGTGTACAAGTGCTCCGTTTGTCGCGCCAAAGCGGCCTCGCGCGACGTCGGAATCAGATGATCAGATAAAACCACCGGCAGCCATGTGTTGGGCCTCACGCTTTTCGATGATCTGATTAGATGGAAGCGCGGGAAGCGGTCCAGAATTAGGTCAATGATGGAATACTGCTTGAGTCATCCAATGGCGAGTGCAGTGTCTTCACGGTAAGCGGTTAGATCCGGGCGACGATGTGGAGTTCCCAGGAAAAAAGCTCGCACGCTCCCGCGCGCGCGAGCCGCCTGCATACCATCACACGCCTGCATGCTTCAAAATCCCGGCACCCTTACACACCAAGACTGATTGACATCTGCACGTCCGAGCGAACAGAGCCGCAGCGTTTGCATTCGGAGTTTTACATATTTCTACGGGTTCCCAACGCTCAGCGTGACGTCACTTCGTTCACGTCAACGTGACCGGGTATCCCCACGTGGTTTTCGGCTTTGCGACCAGCGGTGAGGCCCTCAACCATCGCAATAGCGCCCTCGGTGTCGTCCTTGTTGTAGAGGAACAACCCCTGTAGCGCTGCAGTACTCACCGAGTCGATGAGGCCCAACTCCCTCACTTTAGCCATAAATCTCTGCTTCGCTTGCCCGCCTGCATCGAACTCTGCATAGAATCGGTCCCAAAGCTGCTCGATTTGGAACTCTGTTGCTTCACCGAGTCTTACCGTCATGTCCACGCGCCCAGGTCGGATGAGCGCTTCGTCTAGTCTTTCGACGTGGTTTGTAGTCAGGAAGATGATCCGCTCCTCAGCGCTGGCAACACCGTCGAGAGCGTTGAGCAGCCCGGAGAAGGTGACCGAGGCGCTAGCGAATCCGTCTGCACCAGGCGTCTTACGGTTCATGAATGCAACATCAACATCTTCCAGCAGCACTACAGTCCGTCGCGGGACTTTGGTCAGCAGATGATTCAACCTATCGTCTGTGAGACCACGCTCGCTGACATTCAAGATGGCAATGTTGAAGTCAAGATGACCTGCAACAGCCTGGATGAAGGAACTCTTCCCTGTGCCCGGCGGCCCATACAACAAGTAGCCTCGCCTGTATGGTATGCCGCGATCTAGGTACCACTTGCGTGACGCGATGAAGGCCTCCATATCCTCTACAATGCGCTCCTTGACGCCGCGCTCAAGGACCACCGAATCGAGGGGCCGCTTCCGCTTTGCGTCGCCAAAGGGCTGCCACATGGTGCCCATGGAGTTGTATATGACAGTCTTGCCCTCCTGCGACTGCTGGTATATCTGGTGCGCCTCGGCGAATATGTCTTCGAAGACGTCGCGATGCGAGTAGAGGGTCGTGAGGTTGATCGTCTCGAAGGGTACGCCATCCTTGACGTTCAGGCTGTTGCGCTCTCGCTGCCGGTCGACGAGGATGAAGGCATTCTTGTAGCGCAAGAAGTGCTTGCCCGGCCCCGGTACGAAGGAGAAGTGGGCGGCGTGCGAGGGCCCATCTTGCGGCGTGTACGTCTGCACCTGGAGGTGGTGCATGCGCGGGTCGATGCGATTGAGGACCTTGGAGAGGACGCCGTTGCGCACGAGTGGCCTGGTGCCGGCTTGCTGTGCGCGGTGGTAGTTGGTCATCCATTGGAGGACCCAGGGATAGGCGTCGTCATGGCGAGTTATCTCGAGATCGACGAGCATGCGGCGGCGCACAAACGCGGCGCCGTGTTGGAGTCCCTTCTGGCCCGTCCGCGCCGCAACCCCAAGCGCTGCGAGACCGAAGCCCTATGGCATCAGTGAGCACACGTCCAGCAAGCACGCAGTGGCCCCGGGGTGAATCATACGGCGGTGAAGAAGGGATTGTCGGTGATTTGCGACCAGGGCGAGCTGAGACCCGGGCTGCTATTGCCGGCAGCGATCTGCTTGGCCAGCTGGTGTTGAGGCGTGTTCGGTTCCATGAGCGGCGGAGAGGCGCGCCTGTCCAGAAATTTGATACGCCATGGACGCTAGCGGGGGATCGATGCCGCTACGCCGCGCCCATTCGTGCCTATCACCATGTCGCACGCAACCGATGGGTGTCGCACAGCGCTTGTTTGCAACGTGGAAGGTTGGTGGACGTATTTTCGTCACACCATCAGGAAGTTGTGCAAACGGAGCAGAAAAAGAAACATAGACGTTGATAATGCTGTATACACAGATGCACAGGGCTGCATAAGCAATCCGGGGTCGCGTCGCGGAAGGCCTTCCATGGCGCCTTCCCAGCCCTGTGGAGTTGTGGAGCGCTAGGGCGAGCTTGGACCTGCTGCCCGTCACTGATAACTACCATAGCCTGCCCAATTCACTGATCAACACCCCGAAAGCACGTTGCGAAGCCATCTTCGGCCCCGAGCACCGCGCTCTTCTTCACCTATGCCATGGCCACCGTAACCATAGGCAAATCCTATTTCGACGCTCTTCTACGCAAGTGAGTGCTCACAATCTTGCACTGTGTTATGCGCCGGGCTGTTTGCTGATTAGAGTTTTAGGGCTGAATTTGTCGGTGCCCCCCAGGCAGTAGCTATGCGTCTGGCTTCGGTAGAGCTGACTCTTATCAACAGCATACTTCCAACCAGCCTGTCAGCTACGGCACTGATCTCTCTGACAATGTCACCATCAGCAAGGCAGAACATGAGCACATGGTACGTTGTATTAAACCCAACATCACTCCAAACGTTTGGACCTTCCTCACCACCCAGCCAGCTGGCTCTGGTTTCTGTTTTAGTTGCAAACATGCTAACAATACATTTTCCTACAGACCCAAGCAGTGCGAGAGTACCGTACGTACAGTCCTGCTCCAGCGCAATACTATTTGTTTCTGACTATGTCTAGACCTTCTCAAGAGCGCTCTGTTCCGTGGCGGCCTGACGAACGAAACCTTGGATACACTGCTACAGGGCGAGAATGGGGCTTCGAACGAAGAACCTTCGAGTTACGATTATGAATCGCAACACACGCATGCAAGATCGCAGGCTACTCCTGTAGTAGCGCCTACGTCAGCTCGCTACCCAAAAGACTCCGACTATACCTCTGCCAGCCACGGACTCCACCCTAGACCTTCGGCATCGTTCCGTCGAGTCGTCAGCTATGAGGACTCCGAGTCTTTCACCGGCGATCCAGACAGCCCACCCGGCGAATATGACGATATAAACCGTGGACCAGCCCAGCGTATACCGCTCCACGATCAGCGCACTGTGCTAATCACCAACCTTTCTGAGCGTACGACACATAAGGATCTGGCCGGCATTGTTCGTGGCGGCAGACTTCTGGACATATTCCTCCGCAATGACCGATCTGCAACGGTATCCTTCATCGAAGGAGCTGCCGACTTCCTTGCCTATGCTAAGCGTAATGACATATATCTGCACATGAAGAGGGTAAGATATGCACCTACCCCAAGGCATGAAAGAAGCTGACCATCCCAGCTTGAATTCCGTTGGAGCGACCGACAATTCCACGTACCACCGCACGTGTCCAACAAGATCGCCGGCGGCGCTACGCGAAACCTTGTTGTCCGAGGCGTTGCAGGCAAGGTCACTACAGATCAGATCCGTGACCATCTCGATCACATCCACAACCTCATCGTGGTAGACGTCTACTTCAAGAATAGCGATGCGTACATCTCGACCAACTCTATTCACAATGCTCTGTTCGCCAGGACCTGCATGATGTCGCGTACTGTATACAAGGGCATGCGCATCGAGTACTACCCGGATGAATGCGCTGGGCCGCTACCTCAGCCCAAAAAGGCCCACACTCCCGTCACTCGCATGCCTATGAAGCCTGCACCTGTGGTCAACCAATATGCTCTTCTAGATACCGGCTCCGACGACGGGTCAGAATCCGAAGAGGAGTTGTACAGGACCAACGGTGTGCAAGTCGATGGTTACCATTGGGCTGACAGTGTAGTAGCATGAACATTGCCGATGGAGGTTCATCACCTGTCAGAGCTCGGCCTATTCCCTGGGGTCGACGAGGGGTTACAGTAACTTGATCCGGTCTTTCTGTTCTGTCAAGTTTCTTCGCGTTGCGGCACGTTTCACAGCAAGCTAAGGAATATCCCACCTATCCGGCTACATTCTTTATGCGAAGACAGGGAAGCCAGGAGTGCAGGCATGGCGACCAGAATAATAGTATGGGTATGTTTACGAGAAGAAGGTCGTGTCGTACAGCCCTCGACAGGTGTTGGTTGGAGTGTGCTTCTTTTCCTATATAGATACCCCTCGGCTACTCTGGAATATGATTATTTTACCTACAATACGTTGATCCCTTCACGCTTAAAGGAGATGTCCATGATCAGCGTTTATGCTGGGATGGTAGGCATGCTCACCCCCTGGGCAGAAAGCTTGTCGCTTTTAGCGAGCACTAGTCTTGCATCGATGCGCATGCGTCAGCTATGTCATACGCCTTTGATTAGCCTCACTTTGTAGATCACAACTTCACCACAGATATCGTCCTGACTTAGGCGATCTATACCAACAGCCTTTGTCGAATCAAGATGGCGCCGACGATCAAAGTTGCTGTTATCCAACTTTACCCAGAGGTATCTCATTTACCCCACATCATCTTGATTACCCATCATGGTTGACCACATCTACAAACATCAGAGTCATTTGCTAACACTAGCTAGCCCCTACAACCAGAACATAATTTCAACAAAGCTGTTTCATTCATCCGCTCCGCAGCAGCTCAGGGCGCCGAGCTCGCCGTCCTACCCGAATACCACTTGACAAGCTGGAAGCCAAACGATCCCGAGTTCCTAAATTGCATCGAACAATGCTCCGACTACCTAGAGAAATACTGCTCCTTAGCCAAAGAATGTAACATCTGTAAGTATCACTCCAACCCCCATCATCCCTCCATACATCCCCCAAACCCATAACTAAGCTCCCCCTCACTGCAGCCATCGTCCCGGGCACGATCGTAGAATCCCACAAAGAGAACTCTGCAACGGAAGACAAACTGCTCAACGTGTGCTACTACATCTCGCCCTCAGGTTCCATCGTAGGAAAATACATCAAAAAGAACCTCTGGGGCCCCGAACGCAACCACCTCACCGGCTCCCGCCACGACCCCCATGAAGTCTTCGACACGCCCATCGGAAAAGTCGGTTTGCTAATATGCTGGGACCTCGCCTTCCCAGAAGCGTTCCGCGAGTTGATTGCCAAAGGCGCTCAGATTATTATTATACCGACGTTCTGGACGCTGAATGATTGTAATAAGGAGGGTCTGGCGAGGAATCCAGCGGCTGAAGCATTGTTTCTGGATAGTATGCTGACGGCACGGGCGTTTGAGAATACGTGTGCGGTTGTTTTTGCGAATGCGGGGGGTCCACCGGGTATGGGGTATGCGGGGTTGAGTCAGGTTGCTGTGCCTTTTGTGGGGGCTTTGGGGAAATTGGGTGGTGCGGGCGAGGGCATGTGTGTTGTGGATTTGGATATGCAGGTCTTGGAGGATGCGGAGAGTAATTATCAGGTCAGGGCTGATATTGCGAGGGGGGATTGGCATTATGTTTATAGGCACTCGGGCGAGGGGAAGCTTTAAGAAAGTAGAGGGTTGGCGCGACACCTGTACATCATCACTGGCATCAAGTAGAATGTCTACGGGTTGTATGCTCGGGAAAGCACTAGTCTCGATCTAGACAGTTCATGCTGGTTTCGTCTAAGATCGTGAAATCAAATGAATGAAGTGTATTCGATTAAGATATTCAATTTCATGTCGACCAATGTCAAGCCCCTCCAGATGCGCCCAAATGTCGCAAAGTCGCAAAGTCGCAAAGACATGGTATCTGACAAAAGTTCGAGGAAGCAACCGGTGAACTCCTACCCGCAGCGCGAACGGGTGCCTAGTAGCGCGCAGCGCCAGCCCCTCTCCCAAACTATTGAACGCCGATCATTATGGCCAGAAGCACGATTAACCACTATGGCACCATCTTCCTGCGCCTAACGCAGACACCTCGACTCAATCGCGTGCTGGGCGTCGACTGGTATCTCCGGGTCGCATGTCGGCATCCGTCTCTCATCTCAACTCTGGCCACTACCACTGGCTTCGCTGTCGGACCTCTCGTCTTTGCGGACGTAGCCTATTTCCCTCGTCGAGACGCCGTGTTCGTCCGTACTCCAAGTCTCCCCAACGACGATGACCCTCGTTTTTCCTTTTTCCAGGAACTTTTCTTCGTCTCTTGCTAGTTTGGCTGCATTCTCCGGGGCGTAGATTCTTCGGTAGAATTCTTGGAAGCGGGCTTCGCTGTCAAACGTCATTTCTGCAATGCAGTCACAGTCCAGCTCGTTCATCTCGCCCCTTAGCATCAGCGGCGGTCGGTCGGGATTTGCCGGTCCTCCGAACCCCTTCCGCGATATCCGCGCGAGATAGCGACGTTTGAAATCGATCGGCCAGCAGGAGGCGAGCAGCGAATGGGCGAGGGGGATGTGCGTGTGCTCATAGTGATCTCTGAACTCATCCGAGGTAAGGTCGTGGTTGCGCGTGATGAAGAGGACGATGGTGTACGTCATATTGGAGGGTGGGAAGCGAGTCAGAGGGCAGGAAGGGTCTTGACTGCGACGAAATTGGTAGCGTGGGTGGTAAAGACAGTAGTAGGGTTTTGACAGCGGCGTGGCTTCCAGAGGGTCTAGGGACAGAGGAACGGCAGGCTTTTGTAGTTTATCAGCCACACTCGATGCGAAGACATCATACTGGCACCGAGCGCGCCTAAAGCCTCCGTTATTGATGCACACAGCTACTCGTGCCCTAGGGCGAAACTACGGACCCGGCACCGGCAGACGACATGGGCTCGCCATACTTTCTCAACGCCGTCACGACACCCAGCGCTGAGGATATGGCCGGTGAGTCGAATCAGGACGTGTCAAAACAGCAGGATGGCCGTGAGGATTGAGTGGAGTGGACCTCTGCGCACTGCCCCTCACAGCGCTGATCCCGGTCGCGCCTGCCTGTGCCCTCTGCTTGGGCGCGCTATCGATAGCAGACTGCCGCTAGCAAACGCACAGAACGCCAAATTTCGTGACAAAGCGGGGAGCAGCACCACGACACGACATTCACCCCCCGTACAAGCACCCGTGCCGTCGCCCGAACGAACACCCAACATGAGTCTGCGCGAGCGTGTCCCGCCGCAGTACCAGAATGGCGACGCTGCCAGGCGTGCGCCGGACGACGACTCGGACGTCGAGGAGGAGGCCATGGCGAACGACTACCGCGAGCAGGTCCAATACGACGGCATGGAGGACCTCGACCGCATGCCCTCGATGAACAGCAACCAGGACATCCACGCGCAACTGCAGGCTGCGGCCACCCCCCTGGAATTCCAGGCCACGCTAGAGACCAAGTTTGCGAGTTACGACAGCTACTGCAACCTCTTTCACTACATCCTGAACTCCGAGGGCCCCGTTGACCTGGAAGTGCCAAACGTAAGGAATCCGGAAAAAAAAGGGGAATATAGCAGGGCTAACTGCGCATAGTACTATTGGGCGTGGGATGTCATCGACGAGTTCATCTACCAGTTCAACAGCTTCTGCAGCTACCGCCAACGAGTCGCCCAGAAGAACGAGAACGAGGAGGAGATTGCGCTCCTGCGCGAGAACCCAAACACATGGGGCTGCTACAGCGTCCTCAACGTTCTGTACTCGCTCATCCAGCGGTCACAGATCAGCGAGCAGCTGGCGGCGATGAAGCGGGGCGAGGACGCGAGTCTGTACGCTGGAGAGTACGGCAACAGGCCGCTATACAAGATGCTGGGATACTTCTCCATCATCGGTCTGCTCCGGGTGCACTGCCTGCTCGGAGACTTCAGCCTCGCGCTCAAGACGCTCGACGACATTGAGCTCAACAAGAAGGCCATGTTCGCCCGTGTCATGGCCGCCCACTTCACCACATACTACTACGTCGGATTCTCCTACATGATGATGCGACGATACTCGGATGCCATCCGCATGTTCAGCCACATCCTCGTCTACGTCTCGCGGACAAAGAACTTCCAGAAGAACGCGCAGTACGATTCGATTACCAAGAAGAACGACCAGATGTACGCACTTGTCGCCATCTGCGTAGCCTTCCAGCCCACGAGGCTCGACGACACCATCCACACTGCTCTGAGGGAGAAGTACGGCGAGCAGTTCAACAGGCTGCAGCGCGGCGGCCCTGAGTCCCTTCCCCTCTTTGAGGAGCTCTTCCGCACTGCCTGCCCCAAGTTCATCAGCCCCACACCTCCCGACTTCGACAACCCAGAGGTCAACATTGACCCTGTTGAGCACCACCTCCGCATCTTCATGGACGAGGTCAAGAACAACATGATGTCGCCCACCGTCAAGAGCTACCTCAAGCTCTACACAACCATGGACCTCAAGAAGCTCGCTGGATTCTTGGAGGTTGAGCCAGAGAAGCTCAGGTGCTGGTTGCTCGTCAACAAGCAGAGGAGCAGGCAAATAAGGTGGGCCGAGGGTGGTCTGTTGGATGGTGATATCATCCAGGCCAGCGACCTCGACTATGCTATGGAGGGTGTAAGTACAACACATCTGGAACGAGAGACATCTGCTAACGATTATCAGGACCTCATCCACGTTTCAGAGGCAAAGGTCGGCAGGAGGCTCGTAGACTGGTACCTCCGCAACTTGGCCAGGACGTACTAGAGGATCACGAGTGTTTTCTGAGAGCGACTATTCACATTCGGGGCCCATACAATAAAGCATTGCGCTTGGAGTTGGAGGATTTCATGGGTATCCAAAAGCGTGTTTGCAAAATCTAAAGATACGCTTAGGCATGGGGAAGGCGAAGATAGGGTCCAGGTCGCGATCTTCCACGACTGGACACCGCCCGCCGCGCGCGACGAGTGGGCTGGAAGATGGACAGGATGAGCGAACGAGCAATGAGTTGAAGAATACCAAACAAACTTGCAGATTTCAAACACATATCAATAAGTGGACGCGACGTGGTGTGAATGTTTGTAACTTCAGCTTGACATCGTCACATCATGTGGGGAAACAAGGGTTCAGCCTTCGTAGCAGACTGGTAGATGCTAGCGCATTGAGTGGACGTGGCTGCTCTGCCGTAATCTTCGCTTCTGTCCGACCAACACCATCCAAACGATCATTGACGAGCAATTCCGGTTAAAGCGCATCGTTCGGAGCAAGCACGTCCGGAATGATCATGCGATGGAGTGAATGTCCCTGCCCCTCTCGGTCGCTCGTGCGCTCCGCTGATGCACTTTCCTCCCGTCCACATACTCGGAACCACCACAACAACGCCCAGTAATTGAGATCAGTCTCCCCTTCACAATTAGCCGCCAGCTGCTTCTTCGATAAACATTCCAAGACAGCGCGTCTCCTACGGGTCATCAACGCCTTCACGTCCACCACACCCAGCGCGACTCGCACCCAGACAAGCACGATGGCCCCCGATCTGAACAAGGTGCCGACCAACACAGGCAACACTTCGAGCACGCAGCCAGCTTCAGGCTCCTTGTCACGTCAGACATCGTCACGTCAGGCATCTACACCAGGCTCTAGGCGAGCGTCGCAGATGGGCCCCCCGCCGCTGCCTCTCGCATCGCCTGGCGGTACCCTACCACCGCCCCAGTCAGCATCACATCATGTACATGGCTTTCCGCCTCTCAGCCCCAGCGCGAGCGGCTACGTCCAGGCGAGCGTCGACTCAGCAGGCGTTCCGATGAGACACCCACGTCCGATGACACAAGCAGAGCTGCACCTCGAGCTCGAGAAGGAGCAGGAAGCCGTCGTCAACCGTCTGACGCGAGAACTCTCGGCTCTGCGCGCACACTCTGCGTCTGTAGCCTCCAATACGTCCATGTCCAGCGCCGCCGACTCCTCTGTCGCACACGCTGAAGCTCACACCGGACCTATGCATCCCACATCCTCACGCCGCCACCGCAGCTCCTCGAGCGTCTCCCGCAGCGGCCTACCACCAGGCCACGTTCCACACCGTTACTCGATCTCCTCGCAGCCTGCGACGGGCGATCCTGCCCAGCGCGACCACCGCAGCTCGAGCGTCGTCAGCACCCCACGCTACGAAGAGGTGGCACAACACAAGGCGGAGCTGGAGGAGGTCAAAAAGGAAAACGAGGCCTTGAAACAGCGCATCCGTGATCTCGAGCGCATGATCAGGGGCGGCAATGACGCCGCTGACGGTCAGAGGGGTCGGAGGGGTGCACCGCAGTCGCAGAGCAGCGGGGTTGGCAATGCTTCTGATACTGTGCAAGCACCTGCTAATGAGACGGCAGGGGTCCCCTAATAAAGCTGTGAATAGGGTGAAGGAGATGTGTTTGTAGGGTATCAGTGAGAAGGATTGTTCATAGTGTAGGCCAGGCTCACGTTGCATGTGCGACGGAATGGAACAGGGTTGTTTCCGCCATATCTTTACTTGTCGACATGGAGTTTGAGCGATCAGGCATGGTATGCAATGCCAATCGGCATCCATACGGGCGGATATTTTATTCTAATTCTACCATTCTCATCAATCAATCAATCAATCAATCAATCAATCAAGCTAAACAAAAGTCTACTTCCGATGCGATCGCA